GGGGAAACATACATACCTAGAAAATTATAGGTATGTATGTATGTCTGGGGAAACATACATACCCAGAAAATTATAGGTATGTATGTATGTCTGGGAAACATACATACCTAGAAACTAGAGGTATGTATGTATGTCAAAGGTATGTATGTATGTCTGGGGAAGCATACATACCTAGAAACTATAGGTATGTATGTATGTATGTCAAGGGTATGTATGTGTGTCTGGGGAAACATACATACCTAGAAACTATAGGTATGTATGTATGTCTGGGGAAACATACATACCTAGAAATTTATAGGTATGTATGTATGTCGGGGGAAACATACATACCGAGAAAATTATAGGTATGTATGTATGTCTGAGGAAACATACATACCCACAAAAATATAGGTATGTATGTATGTCTGGGTTCGTAGTGCCTACAAGAGTGTCGTGTAAGAGTGACCCACAAGAGTGTCCCACAAGAGAGCGTCCCATAAGAGTGACCTGCAAGAGTGTCCTTTAAGAGTGTCCCACAAGAGTGTCCTACAAAAGTGCCCCGTAAGAGTGACTCACAAGAGTGTCCTACAAGAGTGTCCCACAAGAGTGTCCTACAAGAGTGTCCCGCAAGAGTGTCCCACAAGAGTGTCCTACAAGAGTGTCCCACAAGAGTGTCCTACAAGAGTGTCCTACAAGAGTGTCCCACAAGAGTGTCCTACAAGAGTGTGTAAGAGTGACCCACAAGAGTGTCCTACAAGAGTGTCCCACAAGAGTGTCCTACAAGACTGTCCCACAAGAGTGTCCTGTAAGAGTGCTCCACAAGAGTGTCCTACAAGAGTGACCCACAAGAGTTTCCTACAAGAGTGTCCCACAAGAGTATCCCACAAGAGTGTCCCAGAAGAGTGTCCGTAAAGAGTGTCATTTGGGCATATGGAACTTGTTTGCATTCGGGTTCGTGGGTTCCATCTTGTTTTTCAAGTGAAATTTAACAACGCATCCTTGAGCTGAGGACAAAACAACTGACTCACTGCATTTCAGCTTCATCTCTGCAACTTTGAGGTATACCACGCATGTAGACACCCTTGATGATCATGGCCCAACAACCTTCCAATTCATACCGATTGACTACTCGTCCCTGCTCGTGGTCTCACTCGGCTCCCAGCCTGGCGACACTGCCAGCTACCTGGGTGCTCCTCGTCCATGCGTTCGCAGTCCTGACCGATCGGTCATATAACATATGTATATATGATTAGACCTTATCAATCTAAAAAAAACAAAACATTCATACACAACCTAGTTCATCATGCTGTATATAGACTACTATATTACTATATAGACGTTAATCAACAAAAACATACATATTCATACACAGCCATACTGCATCACGTTGTTCTTTTTCTGTGTAATGAATGAAGCTTCGATTATGTGGCTTTGGTTCCGTTTAGACTCTGATGCTCGATCATGAGTCATACTGCCCCCCCCCAAAAAAGCAAAAAAATGCATTGTTTGCTCCGCGTCAGGCCAATTCAGCTTGGTGGGAACCAGATGGGACAAACGCTATGGGCAATTTAGGTCGATGGACGCACTGTGGGACCTGGATCTGGTAAAGCAAGTAAAGGCGGAGGCCGGGAGGCCCTTCACACCTTCTTCATCATATCGCACCTTGGTCCTATAAAGGCCTGTTTCTTTTTGGGGGAGGTGCTGGGACCAGGCTGATTGTTGTTGGGATCACCGAGATCGTCTCTCAGGACTCTCAGGATCCCCAAGTACAGTAGATGCATTACATTGTTTCAGCATGTTTGCAGGGGGGTCATTCCATGTCATCAACGAACACCCACAAACTCTTGAGAATATGCTCGGTCACTCCTTCCACTTTCATTTTCGGCACGCCAACATTCTCCCTCGGGGAGACCCTCGACAAATAAGGGTTCACCTGCTTCCATCCGGTTGGATTTGGGTGGGGAAACAACCCCCCAAAATTGTTTTTTGTAACAACAACTTTGCCTAACTTTGCCCCCTCCCAGCTTTTTGGTTCACTGTTTCTGCACCCGCTGCGTGCACAACCTGCTGGACAAGAGTGTCAACGCAGTGTCAAGTCTCATATCTTGTGAGTGATGCACGGTGATGCCACAGCGACATCCACTCTACATTTACTCCAAAAATGGAATTTGGTGAAACTATTGGGAACCCTTGCTCTCAATTGGTTTCACCTCAGCCACAGAAGGGCAGGACAAGTGGAACGCTAGGCGTAACGCTGCTGAGAAAAGCACTCACGCTGATGGCAATGTGAAGCCATAGCAATCTGTCCTTAAAACTGGATCGAAAAAACACAAACTTGAAGTGTGGTCAAAACAGCTGTTTCTCGAACCAAGCGCAACTCAGAGGCGGCAAAAAAATAATACATCAGAAGGTTGTAACATTGACATCAGTTTGAAGCCCTGCATGGTCAAAGGCTGCTCAAAACAAAACACCAAGTGATGGGCTCATCCGTGTCGCGAAGGCTTGCCGACATCTTTTCTTCTCTAATCCAACTTCCATCCTGCAAATCCGCGATGAGCAAACTGGCAAACCACAATGCTGCAAAGGCAAGTTGAGACGGTGGTGTGCAAGGGGTTGGGTTAGGTGTTGTGAAAGAAAACAATTGGACAAATTCACCTGACCAGCGATTGACAGAAGAGTGAAAAGTGAGCAAAGACATTGCAACGCAAAGCGCTGAGCCGAGTGAACAAAAGCTGAGAAATTGAAGCTAATACAACTAGCAAACGAGTTGGTGGCATAAACAGCGACTCGTCCTGTTGGCTAAACATATAAATTTCATCTGCGTCACACTTCACTTTGTTCGGCTTCTCTGCCTTAATTGCCTCACGGCAAAACGACAATAACCACCATGCACTTGCACACGCGTTGAACAAAACATGTTCTGGCTTTCATCGCTGCCTGCTTTGTTTGTCTTCTTCACTCAACGTTCACCAAGGCACAGCATCAAGTTTGATTGAACAACAAGCTCTGAGCTCTGGACTTTCTTAAGGTCATCCACCTTTGAAATGAATCAAACTGAGCTAAGGGCTTTGTATAGCAACGTGATGACGACTTGAACGAAGCATCCGACGAAAGCAATGTAATGCAACTCTATTACATTTACATGAAGCATGACGAACCAGCAAAAAACACAATAGCAAAACTAAGGTCATTACGTTCTCCAACTTGGTAAGCAAAGTTTGCATTCCACGTTATGGAGTGGCTGAGCAAACGACATCGGAAACATCAGTCGTGATTTTGAAAGCGTTGCCAATCTCCTTGAATGTCTCACCATCCTGCAATTGCAACAGGCGGTGGGCGGCAGCAAAGTCTGCGCCTTTCGATAAGCAAGTGCAAAAGAACAATGCACATGACAAGGAACGCAATGCATTACGCAAGAATTTTGACGTTGGGATGTGAAAATGGCTGAGGGAAATTTCTTCATGAAGTTTCAGCTGAACAAACCACTTCTGTTCTTAACCTACCACTAGTCAAAGGCTCCAAAAGAAACAAAGGCATAAACTGTTGCATTGACTTTTGCAAATTACAAGCCTTTGATGCTTGAGTGGGAGAACTGATGGAGCACAACCCTACTTTTATTCACACGACCAATCAACACTGGCTTTAGCACAGGAACTTTGCAGAGGAACAAACAAAACAAACATAGGGGTCTAAAACAAGGTTGCTTCTTCAACAGGTTTGCAAGCTTCAACGTCTTTGATGTTGAGTAGGACTTTTCTTGACTTTTCGTTTTCACAAGTTTTTCCTACAACTGACAAAAGGGCGCAGCAAAGGAACAAGGGCATGGCAAAACGTGTCATACAAAGTCTTAGTCTAAATCCTCTCTATCAAATTGAGGAAGATGTTGAGAAAATATCATTCAACAAATCCTGAGGAATAAATACGCTACTGCTTGTTTTTGTGCATAAAACATTTACTTTCCTCAAAAGAACATGGCAAAGGAATAAGCAAAGGGCAAAGAAACAATATGTTGCGTCTAAGTCCTTTCGAAGTTGAATATGAAAACATCCAAATAAACAACCATGCAATCGCCCCAACCGTGCTGAAACAAACCGTGACAAGGCAAAGGATGCCAGAAAGAAGGCTGAACAAGCCACTTGTATTTTAACCTAACACTAGTAAGAGGAACTTCCAAAGGGAACAAAGGCATAAACTGTTGCAGTGGCTCTTGCACATAACAATGCTTTTGACGCTCGAGTGGGAGAATTGATGGAGCACACGCCTACTGATTCACAAGACCAATCAACACCGTTTTTAGCACACGAACCGTGCAAAGCAACACATGAATGGAACTAGGGATGACAAGGCTGCTTGTTCAACACTTGCTGTACCACTCAAAAGGCGAGATGTTGAGGTGGGAACAGTCAAAAGGACATAGCAAAGGAACAAGGGCATGGCAGGAAATCATACAAAGTCTTTAGTCTAAATCCTTCCTGTCAATCGAACCAATTCCATCCTTCTTTTTCACTTGGATGCATTTTGAACTTGGGGTGGGGAGCGTTCGGAATCCGTTGTCCTAAACCGAAACGAGCGTTTACCAAAGGAATTCTAAAGATGAGTTGTGTACCTTGTTGTCTGCAACTGTTGTCAGTCCTTTTGCAGTTGCCTCACCCAAACAGCTTTGGTCTGAGTTGGAGAGGTGGCACCTTGCAGGGCACAAAGATGACAAGTTGGGTCTTTGCAAGGTCTTACTTTGGTCAGCTATTGTGTATAATCAGGAGCGTTTGCGACAAAGCGGAAAAAAAAAAACGAAAACTTTACATTAAAACAACAAAACATCCCTGCTCGTCTGCAAGTAGAATGCTTTCTCACATTCTTAATGTGATGTTCTTCCAAGCCAGCCCTTTCCCTTCAGTCCCCGCCTGCAACAGTTGGGATTAAGACTGGTTTGATGCCTGATAGCAGAAATTGCTTGATATCCACTGGCTTCCATCCACCGTCAGGCATCCTTGCCCCTTCCAAATTCTCCTGCACCCAAGCCTCATCCTGCTTGAACTCTTTGAGGGATTCATTTAAGGCTCTCTGGACTGTGTCCTCCGACTCCTTGGTGGTTCTCGTGAATGCATGTAACATCTTGCGCCACCACCTTGTTTTGCGGGACTTTCTCCAGTCCTTCAGCTTTGCAGTTGCGTTCAAATTCAGAAGGAGTCTGTATGCCTGTATCTCATTCCATCTCTACTTGCTGACATTGCACTTCTGCTGTGGCGATACACGTGTTCGTGCCCCATTGAGCAAACCAACTTCCTCAGCGACTTCACGCGACTGCGTGACGACCACAACTTGTCCATGTTCGAAGGCGGCGCGGGCAAGGCTCATCAACATCTCCCCACGCTCACCGAGTTCCTTGTCAAAGATGTTGTCAAGAACAACTTGCAAGCGAACTCCCGCATCGGACAAGATTGGAAAAAGGTTTTCTGCAACAGCCGGCACGTAGGCTTCATCGCTAACTCGAAAGAAATCTTTGAGAAGTTTCAGGCTTCCTCGTATCAAAACAGTGATGCACTTTGGGTTGTGGTTTGCCCACGTCAGCATGGCTAAAGCTACCGCAACGGACTTGCCCGTGCCGGGTTCAGCATGAATGGCAGAGACTCCCGTGGAGGTCGCATCGGATAGCACACTCGTCACCAAATGCTGAAACTCTGTGGCATTCACGGGGATGAGTGGTATTGAGATGTTGGGCACAAAGATGTTTCGGGCTTCCTGTGACATCTTGGCTCTATCCATCAGTTTATCCGCAAGGAGTCTTGCGTGGTGGTGGGCATCGTTGACATTCTTCAATAGTTTCAGCTTTTCAATCGGACGAAAATTGTTGTTTGCATCCAAAACTTGCTTTCCAATGTCCTTCAATGATATCCCTGCCACACTGACAATTGGGTCAAGAAATGTTGCCAACCAAGGAGTCTCTGCGGACCTTGCAGTCTTGCTTGAACACTTGTATCTGTCTTGCGTCGTTCGAGGTATCTCAAAGAAAGCCAAGAAGAACTTGCCAACTAGAATGGACAAAGCCAGTGCAATGATCTTGAAGCGGCGTTTTGCCATGGGAACATTGCAGGTCTAGACAAGTATAATGTATGTGCATGACACCAAGGTTGATGCATATACATCTTTATATTTATGTTTATGTCAAACATCATCTATATCTTGTAAAACACATATATACAACCAAAATCAACCAAATGATGTTTGTGCTGTTCGGTCGCACATCAGGAAAGGATTGCAAAACCCTGCTCTCAGAAGAAAAGCCACGAGCATGGCACAAATCAATCCACACATCCAAGCTTCATGGAGACCTGCCACCAATCGGGAAAATCTACCATCCATTTTGCACAAAATCAGCCACCGACTTTGGGAAAATCCATCACCGCCTTTGGGAAAAACAGACTCCGTTTTTGTGAAAAACATGCTCCGGTTTTGGGGAAAACCATGCCCCGTTTTTGAGAAGAACTGCCTCCGTTTTTGGGACAAAGCGGCTCTGTTTTAGTGAAAAAGTGGCTCGGTTTGGGGAGAATTGGCGCGGTTTTGGATTGGTTTGGGACAAAACTCAAGTTTCACTGTTTGCACGCTAAGCATGTTTGGGCTTGGATTTTTTAGGTTTTAGGATGGGGCATCTCTAAAAATAAGTCAACGGTAGAAGGGTAAACTGCTGAAACCTATAAAATTTTGCCAATTTTTCTTACAAGTCCCTCACCGAACCGAAGCCCTCCTCCACATCGTAATATATTTTTTCCAATACCTTTTCTTTTGCCAATTTTTCTTTTGCCAATTTTATCACTAAAAAAATTAGATTATATTTTTCTGATATTTTCTTACATCATAAAATCATAATGAACTTACACTAAACACCTTTGGCACTTTTTGGTTTTCTTGTGTTTTACCAGATTTGACTTGCAGCTCATGGCAGAACCGCATATATCGCATACGCACGGTCGTTTCGTCTTCTCTTGGTAATATCTTTGGAAATATTGTTCGTCGTTCGGTTTTCTATTGTAGTATCCGTCGTGCTGCCTTCTCCATTGGGGTTTTGTGGGCTTTTGCTTCATAGCTTTCTTCAAACGAAGAAGACGTTTCGCTGTCATTGAGTTCTTTGTTGCCAAAACCGTTCCAAATAAAAGCAAAGGTTTCATTCGTCATCGGGATTTCAGCTCCACTACTTACAAAGTAACAACGCATATGGTATATATATACTTACCTATATATCTTAATATTTATTTTAGTATGTTCATCCTCAATAGGAACTATGTATATCAGTTTGTGTTTGTGGCATCGCATACAAGTCCCTAACATCACATAAATTTAGGCAATGGTCAGTAGATGGGGTTTGATAAAAATGAATAAGGTAATGATGGACTGCTTTGATTTTATAAATTGAATAAGGTAATGATGCTTTGACTGCTTTGATTGTATAAATTGAATAAGGTAATGATGCTTTGCCTGCTTCGATTTTGATATGGTTGATTAAACTGAGGAAATCAACCATATTCAAAATCTGGTTTTATTCTGTTTCATTTTATTTTCAAAAACTTCACTCAATCAGCTGTTTTAACATCTTTTCCCCTCCCCTCCCCTCCCAAAAAGTGTAGGTTACATTTCCTAGCCGTCCCCCTGTTTCATACCCCGCAAGGGGGTAGGCGATCCTCCCTTCCTGGCTCTGCCGTCCGGACTTCCCACTCGTCCGATCCGGCCTTCGAGCAGTAGGCCACTTGAGAACAAATCTCGCACAGCAACGTGGCCGGGGCCTGGCTGTTCGCTGGGGGTCGTTCGGTGGGCGAGAAAGAGCCCAGAATTCCACATGTTGATCTTCATGTAGCACATTCCAACTTGAGTGAGAAAGAGCTTCCAGCTCCATGCACCAAATGCTCCCAAACCTAAGCTGAAGAAAAGAATCTCATGATGACATGCATTTATGTCCAGCTATAGAGATGTCGAGATGAGGATCCAGGTACTCTCCTTTTAAGACCAAGGCCCTCATGACTTCGAGCTTTGTGCTTTTCGAACAACACTAAAGGGACCCGGAGGGAAAACCCTGCTTAAGTTTAAAGGCTGAAGCCACTCCAATCAACACTGCAACCAAAACCAACCAACACTTCCAAACAGCCGCTCTGGCCCACGATGAGGCGGAATAAGAACGGCCATCCGATCGGATCCCGACCACCGGATCGCGAACTTGGATCCACGGTCTGAAAACATCAAATGATGATGAGCAATGGTAGCTGAACTTGTAGATGAATCTTAATATTTCGTTCTATATTTCGTAACATATCATAACAATCATTAATTGAGCAGCGTTTTTGGGGTATGTGGAATGTTATCATTTGTCGGTGCCTACGCTAGGAGCCTACGCGTGCTTACGCCACCACAGTGTTTACCTACGCAAGACAGTGGTAGTTGAAGCATGTTGACGCATGTCTGCGTGAAGCATACGCCATGGAGCTTGTGCGTTGCTAGTGTGTTTTTTGATATGCTGCCATTGGGTTTCACTCTTCAGTGTGCACAAACATTGGACTTTTCATTCACCAGCAAATGAGGCAGAGTCAGAAAATGAACTCGATGTGGAGCAGCAGCTGCTGCTGCTGCTTTCCTTTGTGGCCTCAGCGACATGCCTTATAAGCGTTCGCCGTGCCGTCTTTGTTTTGACAGCGTTGTTTTGGAGGCGATCCTTAGAGGGTGGAACATACCTCTGTTGGCGGGGACTGGAGGTTTGGGCTCATGGTCACGCGAAATGCCAAGCGATGAACTCTAATGACTCTAATAATCTCACCCACTTCCGGGTAACCCCGTTCTTTCATCTGCTTTGCTGTCCCCCTCCTTCGCCCGGCTTTTCCATCTCTCCACCCAAAAACCTGAAAAAACCACCCACATGCCTTGCTGCAAACCCTGCAGTGGGGCAAATGCACCAGTTGCTCCAGCTCCCAAGGCTCCGGATGCTGACCCCTCCGTCGTGACGATGGGGTGAATGTGACGTCGTGACTCACCGAGCCGAGTTCCCTTTGGAATGTCTCAAATCTGTTGAACATCTGGCTGTGAGTCAAAACCTTCCCAACCAAATTGACATCCCTTATGAAGGGATCTGTTCATTTGACCCGGGGTCAACCAGGGTGCCCGGGTTTTGACCCACAGCCATCTGATAAGAAACACCATAGGGATTTGAGGGTCCGGACCCCTCCAGATTCGGGTACCCCTACTGAACGCAGGGGCCGAACGGGTCGCGGCTGGGTGATAAGAAACACCGATATTGGACAGGGTAGAACAATCTATGTTGCTCAAAACCAGGAGAAAAAACGTCTTCTAACCGGTTGTTCTTTCACCATTTCCTTTCGCAACTCTTTCGCAGTAGTTGTCTTGCTACATCTTGCTACTGCAAGCCAGCCATATAGATTCTGTTAGGGCCTGCATCCCCACGTTTGTGGCCAGGTTCCACTTCTGCCTTGGAGGCCCATGCGGAATATCATCCCTAGGCTACCACAATAGTGGTAGCCTGGTAGCCCACAAGATGATTGTGACCAAAATACCAAACGCCTTGAAGGCTTCATACCAGGAGTCACATGTTGGAGGTTGTTTTTCGTCCCATCCAGTGAGTGGATGTTCTGGACTATCCTCCAAGTTCGGCACCCCGTCCTGTGACTCCTGGCGTACTTACTACCAAGTGCTTCCAACGGGTCACCAATGGACAACCCCACCCTACCTATAGGTCTCCATTGGGCACCCATTGGAAGTGCTAGGTATGTATGATTGTATGATACTGTATGATGTCATTGCGATGTCCGAATGACTTCGACATGCTTCTCCTGGATGCATTGTCACTCGCGATCAATTTGTCTACAGTCAAAAAATGAAACGATTCCAAAGAATGACAATTGCACCAACTTGCACCATAACTACAAATTGCCCTACCCCAGCCATGCAGAAGCAGTACACTCAGTAGGCAAACATTGCCAATAGATATACTAAACACGTGCTGACATCCTGTCGGACCTAGCTATCTAATAGGTCTAGATGTTTCATGGTGTTTCTCACGGTCGCTGTTGAAAAAAACATAAACATAGATGCCAAGCTGACCTCCACGTCACCCACAGGCCCCACCTTGACCTGGTCCAAACATCAACAACCTGCCAAGCGAAAAGCAAGCAAACACGACCTCTAAATGGTCGTGCCGTGCCAAGACTTTCAAACAACAACAAGCTATAGTGATCATCCTGGAATCGATTGAGATATACACAGAAAAAAAGAACCGACTCGCGTATTGATATTTTACTATTACTGTACAATCTATTACATCGACCTACATCGACAAACTAACTATCGATCATCGTGGAATAACACGGAAAACATAACCTTTTCCCGTATTAAAAATAACATCGACAAACTGTTGATCATCCTGGAATCTATTATATCTATTGAGAATAGACATTGACACAAACTCCATGAAACTCCTCTCGTATAGACTCTATATTCCCTTGCAGTGGTACCATTGATGGTCTATCTAACTAGGTGCGTGGGATTGCGTGGGCCTCTATAGCTGAGAGGACCCCAAAACACCCTCAGGAACTATAAATCTACAGACAATCATTTGTTAAACATCTTGGTCTACTCCCCTGCAGCTTAACATGGAACCCCAAAACCACTGGGTTGTAGAGGAAAATGGTCGAAACCACCGGTCAATTCTTAGATTTCATGTTCGTTTGCGGGGGGTACGCACTGCAGTACGACCGGTAAGTCGCAGTTGTTGCCACGTACGTCACCTCGTGCGGATCCCGGGCGATGCGACGGAATCACATCCCATCACTCCCGAGATCCGTCTGGGTGTGTGCTTTAATAGGGAGACATCCCAACCAATAGGTTTTGGTCTATGTCCTTTCTCCATTTGGAGGTCTCGGGAGGTCTCCCTATTCTAATACATCCAATTCCCAATTCGGTCCTTGCCGATCGAAGGTCTTTTCAGCAACTCCGCATACTCCACGAACATAGGACATCAATGGACATCACTCTATAGTTCGTCTCCGGGTCTCTCACGCCACACGTCCCTGCTCGATGCGTTTGGGGAGACACTTCTGAACAAACAGCATTTGGGTGCGCAGGCGCACCTCAGGTAAGGCCTCTTGCACCCACTTCTTGCCAGCCACCTGGCAGACCGAGACATGCGACATGCGGAGATGTTTGGGGTCTCGTGACGGGTCTGCGAATCGAGGTAGCGCATGCTTCGAGGTCCAACATCTAAACACGAAAGGAGGAGGGTCTCCCACGAAAGGAAGCAACATCTCCCACAGCCTTTTGACCCAACAAAACATCTTCCGAACCATTGGTGTATAGATGATGATGTATATATATAATACAGAGTCCAGAGTCTCTGTTCTGAAGTCTTCTTCTGTTCTGTTATGATGATGTAAATGCAGTATATAATAGTATATATATAGAGCACAGAGTCCCGAGTCTCTGTTCTTCACAGAACAAACGTCCAAATCAAACCATTGACATCCATTGACCATGCATCGCCTGTTGAAGCAAGCCGCCCTTGACGGAGGCAATGAATCGGCACACAGCCTGATGCCTGCGCAGCGGAGGTCCAATCTGGAAAGTACATCAGGTACAACCTATAAGACTAAGATGAACCCTGAAAACCACTGGTTGGTATAATATGTATATATATGTATATAGAGGAAAACAATCTTCCAGGGGGCATAGTTTTCGGGTTTTTCGGGAGTGTATAGAAGTGGGTGTGGCTGGTGTGGTGGCGTTGGGCGCACCTCGACCCATTCGAGGATCTTGGACAAAGGATCTACAAGGATCTTCGCCGTTTCCTCTTCTAATCGACATTTCAACATGCTGGTGATGCAAGCATCTCTGGCATCATCCCACAGCCAACACAGCTAAAAGCCTTGCTGGGAGACCTATAATTATATAGATTATAGATGAAAAAAAAACAACATTGATCCATATTGATCCCACGAACTCCTTTGCCTAGTCTGACACGTTCCGAACCACTTACCGAAGCCACGGAACCGCGTGGCCGTAGCCGCGCAGCCCCGTGGCCGCGTGGGTCTTCTGGTCGCCTCGGCCAGAAGCGGCGTTGGTGCTGACGGCAGCAGAAGCGCACGGATTGGCAGGCGCTGCAAAGGGAGAGATCTCGGGTCGCCTGCGACCCGTGCAAACGGCTGGTGGTGGATCTGAAGGAGCCGGATTGGTGGGAGGGTGGAGGATCTGGAGAGCCCATGTGGAGTATATCCTCATTGGTGCGATCATGAGGCCCGGGGAGATGCGATGCTTTTTGGTTGAGTCAGTCTTCCACAATGCTTCAGCCTTCAGCGGACACTTTAAAATGTAGGACCTCATTTCTCCCTTGCATATCAATATCTGACCACCTGATCTCACACGTTACGAAGGCCTTGCACACGGCGCAGCTAAAAGGGCTGTGCAATGTGACCTGGGTCGGCACAGCGTAGCGTTTGATAACGTGGCGCCAACGTGGCCCGACGCAAGGCGTGCCAGCTGCTACTCAGGCACCCTGGATCCATCAAAGCATTTGATGTCTTTTGCAGAGTGAAACTCCAAGTCCGTCTCCAACTACCAGTATTATAACATCAACTAACTCCAGTACTGTATACAAAACCATAATTTGGCAATGGCTCAGTGGAAGATGAGATATTCAAGAATGTGGAATGGCAGCAACACCATACAAGTCCAATCCACTTTTCAACTCCTCACAAGTGGATGCCTAGGGAGATGCCTAGGGCTGTTGAATCATGGGTCAAGCCCTATGTCAGAAACATCCTTGAGATCTTTTTTTGAATCACTTTACCAGGTTGTGGACAAAGGCTTGAGATGGACTCTGCATATCATGTGTCGCAAACCAAGGCCTGAACACTCCATGATGATGCCTTGATGCATCTTGATGCTCTGTGAGTTGGTTTGTCGATTGTTCGTTTCGTTCTGCAGTGAGGAGAGTCTCTGTCGCTCTGCCAGTTCCAACACGAAAACATGTGGAGAAAATCACTTCAGGTGAACCATCTCCGAGAAGTAGCGACCAGTGTCTGCCAAGCTGTCCGAGACGTAGCGGCCAGTGTCTTCCAGACTTGACAGTACCTCCTCCGTCGTGATATCCAGGTTGGCCAGCATGTAGGACAAGAGTGCCAAAAAGCCTGTGGTAGCTTGGCCCATGAAGCGCGTGATCAGCTCCATGTCAATGAAAACACCAAACATCTCAACACCTGCACGGTTCACCATCAAATAAGTCAAAAACCTGGAATGATCAGCTCGCTCTTCAGCGCGGGAGGCATATCCGGCTGACTTCAAAGCAGCTTCACTGCAAGGACTGGGCCCTGACTTTGCAATGGCATAAGACAGGATGCTTTTCGTCCCGGCAATAGTAGACATGCACATCTGAGTGATGCTGGCCATGTCCATCAACTGTTGGCCAATCTTGAGAAGATTGAAACAAATCAGGAACAATCCAGCAAATGCCACGAGGATGTTGTGACTGGTGACCACGGTGGACAAGCAGGCCACCAAACCGATGACTCCAAAAATAATCGTCGTGCTTATGTCAGGTATCACAAACCACATGGCAAGTGCCCAGGCATTTTCAAGCATGCCATCCATTTCTTGGTGTGCCTTGGTCATCTCCTCCCAGAACTGTCCGCTGTGCTTCCATGCAGCAGGGCCGTCGGCAATATTCTTCATCAATTGTTCCACAAGATTTCGGCTCAAGTGCAAAAGCAGCCAACGCACACTAGTGCGGCCAGGTACGTAGAGAACAATCCAGCCGAACAGCAACAGCCATCCAATAAAGTACATGGGATCTGATGAAAAAGCTGGGCTCAATGCCAAAGCCAGCAGCGTACCAACCAACAATTCTCGCAAAAGCCTCTGGACCAGGTCTCCATTGCATCGACAGTCAAAATCATGTCGTCTGTTTCCGCTCAAGATGCTCAAGGAAGTTGGCAACTGGTGGCCAGCTTCGCATCGTGCCAGTAGCTTCTGGAATGCCTCACTCTGCAAGAGTGATTCAGCAGCCCGTGTGGCACACATGGCAGATGCTATAGCTAGTCCTCCCATCGCTGCTGCCATGCACACAACTTTCCGTCCCACAATCTCGGAGATGGCCTCGTTCGGTCGCACCAGGCCATAGATGCAGCATGCTAAAGTAGCAAGTCCCCATAACCCTCCCAATGGAGAGAAACAAAAGTTTTGGAGCCATATCCTGCTGTTCGGCCCCAAAAGCTTCTTCTGTTCAAGCTCTTGCCACACGTTGATCTCCAGCTCTGCCTGTGGAAGGGGGTCATAGGCCACGGGAGCCATGGCCAGCCGGGCTCGGGCGCGCTTGGCTCTGGTGGTACAAACCGCAGTAGGAGACGCTGGATAAGCATTCAAATCCAAACAACACCCATCTTCTCCCCCCATCCCAGAGTTTTTTTTCAGTACTTTTCACTAGCAGCAGCGGTATGTGACCCCTCAACGAGTTCCCCAGCTCCACTCCAGGAGACCCGCCCGGCGCAGGCGCAGCACGGCGGGACGCGCGTCCGACGTCGGACTCGGCCCTCCAGGCGATGGTGTGCGACGTGGTGCTGGTCGGCTGCAGCGACTGCAAGATCTCGGCGTTGGCACGACAGAGGCGTTGGCGTCTTGGCACCATGCCGGGCACGGGTGGGGATGTTGCGGGTGAGGCAGCTGGTTGGGAGATTTAACTTGCAAAGATGTTGGAGGACGGATGAGAGTGAGGTGGAGGGTGTTTGATAAAAAGGTCCGAAAATAGACATAGTCTCATAATGTCTCATAGTGATTTACAAGGCACCAGCCACAAAACATCCCCTTCAAACAGTCTGCCAACATCTGTCAAATCCATTTACTCTACCACCAGCTAGTTGGTACCTGGTAGGTCACCTGTGGTTCAGGAGCAACCCCTGATTCTCTATTCTGCGAGCCAACTGAAGGGTAGATTATATCCACAAGTTCATGGACCCAAATAACCTCATATAAATTGCTGTGCACCACAGCATCTATGAGCCTGTGATCATAATTTCGAGGAAACCACTATGATCACCGTGAACGCACAGGAATTCAATCACCTGGGAGGTTCTCCCTGATAGATGCCTTGTACCTGATAGATTCTTTGTGTTTCCTTTGGACACTCATGTCAGTCAGACATCCATTCAATTGGCAACACAATTGCTCTGGGACTCCGGCTTTTCGCTTGGCCTGTTGAAACTTGGACAGCTCGCAAAAACCAGCAACCCCAACGCTGTGGGTCCCGGTCTTAACATATCGTGGTTCTCCTTCTGCGTTCATGATCACCCCAAATAGATACAAAACCTGTTGACCAATATGAAACATGAAAACATCTACGTACATTGGACAGTTGGACATGGGTTTCTGTTCAGCCTCCAAGTGGCTGTTTCTTCAGTCAAGCATGGAGTGAGACATCGCAGGTTCTCATGTCGCATACACATATATATATATATGTAATATTAATTAATAGTTCCACACATATACACACTGTTTGGCCTGGCTACTTTAAATCCAAAAGTGTCTCACCACGTGTCGCCGTCTGTGGAAAATGGTCGCATGGTGTCAGCCAAAGTCGGAATGCAACTCGCCTTCGACAGGTTGGGAGGAATTTGGCGTAACTTATCGACAGGAAGTTGGTCGGTTTGTCGGTAATCGCTTACAACTGCTGTGAATTATTGGCTTACATTCTACACTGATGAGCAGCAAACGACTCATTTGTACTACAATTATTAGTCAAGGGATACGAAGAAAATTATCTTTATAGCTCTGTGATGCTATGTGACGGGGATGGTTTGGTGTCTGTGACCTCTGAAACAAGGTCATGCCCCACTGCCTTCTGCTTGGCGCTGGGCTTGGGTGGAATTGGATTGGGCTCCTGGTGAAGCGATGAAGGTCTTCCAGTGAAAGCTTTGAAGGTCTTCCACGGTGTTGTTATGAGAACCTCAAGATACCTCAAGATACCTCAAGACTCAGAATCAGATCTGTTATACATCAATACACCAGGGTGTTGTATTGAAGTGGGTCACGGCTGGTCTGGTGTAACTCAGATCTGCAGCTGGGCGGGATCCATGGATCGCCATGTTTCGATGGATCGCCATGCTTCGATGGAACAGAACGGCTACCTGCCGTCTCTGCAGGTCTCTCTGAACGGACCGTGACAGATTCTGCTCTCTGCAAGAAAAGTCTGAAAAGTTCACCCACCCCAAGTCCAGACCAAATACACCTGCAAAACGCCTGATCTGTTGAGTGGGGACAATGAACATAGAACATAAACTCCATCTTTAGTAACTAATGAACATCATATAGACTTAAAGAAAACATAACTACAACAGTATAATTTTCACAGCTTGGCCCGCTCCTCATGGGTCTTTGGGCTTGGAGTGTGGAGTGTGTGTACTTCGCGGTGACTGTCCTCGTCCTTCTTTCGGTGTGTGTCAAGCCACCTGATGGGGACCTGGGAACCTGATGGGCTCTGGTGGTCGAAAAACCATTTGTGTCACCTTTATCCTTCCTGCTACTTCTTTTTGAATGAGGAAACCACTCCAATCCCACCCCCAAAACCAGCTCCAGCTCGGGCTTCCCTTCAGCCCCAGCTTTCTCCATGCTGGTTTCGGACTTCGCGCGGGTGGCCCCCCAGCCCCACCCTCAACGTCTCTGGAAGACCGCCGGTCCCACATCTCCTGGGTCTTGGCCGCCTCGGGCGAGCCAGGCACTTTCGCCTGTCGAGCCAGGCCGGTGACCCGTAGGCGTGGGGCGCAGCGGCACTGGTCCAAGTACCTTCTGAGAAGGTGCTTGGATCCCTAGGGCGTTGATCATATATTAGATAAGTATATATGATGGTAGTTGATATACATCACATACGGTTTGATTGTCTGTTTGATCAATAGATGGTGGTTGATCATATATTATGCTATACCAAACCGCCCAAATGAGCTCCGATCCCTCCGGTTACCACGGTCGCTAAAACCGCCTCGAGCAAATTCGCGGTGAGCATCGTTAAGAAGTCCTGGAATGGTCATCCGTGCGTTCGAGACGAGCCACATAGCTATAGAATACGCTAGATTCAGTATGATTCAGTCCATTTTTTTGGCTACAATCAGCTCCGTCCATTGGGTGTTTTTTTCGTGGTGAGTGTATACGTCATGTTTGTGTCATCGATCGTCTAGGATTCAACAGTTCAGAAAGGACAACACATCAAACTATGTCATGCGATTTGCTCAGCGTGATCTTCTGGAATATGCCAAGGCTATGACTGCTTTGGACAAGGTGACTGCAAAATTCCGAAACCATCAGTTCCTCGAAGTCCCGAAACAAGTAAACATTAAACAAAAGCACGTCGACGTCTGTGCGGCGCACGGAACTCTCCTCCTCGTACATGCTGATGAGCCTCATCAGCTGAGGATTCTCCTTGGTGATCTCCTCCAGGAAGGCTTCCAAGGCCTCAACCAGGACGACCAGCGTTGGAAAAAGAGAGGACGACAGGATGACTGGGCGGAGAGAATCCAGCGACGATTCATCGGATGGATACGGGTGGTGACTTCCACCCAGTGAGTTGCGGGAGGTGGTCCATTGCAGGTGATATAGGAGAAACTCTTGGTGGTTAATGGACATCCCTTAACCTCTAAGGGGATATTAGACACCCGAGACAAAGGTCCCTGGTACACAACCAGCCACTTCTCCACCTCTTCTCCACCCTTGGCGCCGCAACACCCAGCCTTGGGGTCCTGCGCCACCGCCGCCCGAAGCCGGGAAAAGCGCTCACCTGGAAAACGGGTGGAGCGATCGGCGCCGGTGAACGAACACTTCGTTGGAACATGACTCTCCCTTCGTGGCTGGCAGGTCGGCGAAGAAAGTCCTGTTCACCCGGTGGTTGGCTCCCTGTTCCTTAAACTGTTTGATCAGCTGCTTCCGGGAAGGTGTTCTTCTGCACCTCACGAAATCACAACCATTGCCATTAAACGCAAACATGGTCGCACAAATAAAGTATTATATACATGTGTAATTATATATAAATGCGAGTGGATCTTAATCAGCGAAGTTTGAAGCTATCACTGACGGTCCATAAGCGGCGTAGCGTCGGAACGGAAACCGCACCTTTTCTAGTCGCTTGATCCTTGAGCCAAAGTACATATGGTACATATATATGTACAAGTTGCACTGTACGTGTTGCTGCACTTCCATTCGCACCCCCCATGTGAACGGCAACAATATGTTCCGATCACACACGAAAATTTAGGGATGTAAGTGCTACAAAAGAAATTGTATGATTTGCCGCGAGACTCATATGAGGCTCATACTACGAAACATGCTGGACTAAAGCGGACTTTTACATATAAAGTGTGCAACTATGGCTCAGAACCTATGAAAATCGAATTGAACAAGTGAGACAGTCACGAGGCCTCGCTCAGTATCCACTCAAAAGAGCATCGCTTTGATGTAGATCCGAACTGGTGACTTCCACGTAGATGTCACATCGGCGACTGACTTCACACTTCTCAAAAGATGTAGGTTTTGGTATGGATACACTTACAGAACGGCAAGTCGGAGAGACAGTCGGTGATTGTCTTCCTTCCATTATGCTCATGGTATCAAATCGTCAATCCGGATTTGCAACGATACACTTACAGCGTTTCAGGTCAGATAAACATCCGGTGAATGATTTCCTCCCTGGTTTGCATGGTATCCTCATAGTCGTTCAAAGAAATCACCACTGGCGATAACCTCTCCATCCACGATGATCCCAGCTGCCCTGAGCATCCCACCGATCATCTTCTCCCTTCTTGGACTTTCCCTTGGACTTGCTCTTTCCCTTCCCCTTTTCAGAAGGTTGAGGTACTTCGCGACGTTCTTGCGTTAGCGCCGGCCTCCAAGATGTTCCAGATTGGCCTCCTCCTTTGGAATGTCCTCGGGATGATGAAGAAGTTGTACCTTCTGCTGCATGTGCGTTGGCGGCAAGATCTTCCTGCAAAGCTTGCTCAAACACATCGGTAGCACTGGATGGTGATTTATCATGTGGTCTGGCTTTTGGAGCAGCCTTCGCCTTGTTCTCCTCTGCTGATGAGGGCCCGAAACTCTTAGGTGCTGTTGAAGGTTTTGGCTCCTCACTTGGTGCTGACGACGGCTTGGCCTCGGTTCTGGGTGTAGATGCTGGCTTTGCCTCAGCTCTTGACGAAGATGCTGCTTTCGCTTCAGACTTAGTCGTTGATGTTGACTTAGCTGTTGCCTTGGCTGCCTGCTTCTTCTTGCCCTGAATCTCCTTGGCCCTATCTCCAAAGCCTAGACGATTGGTAAGAGCTTGAACATGCTTATGTTCTACCACGCTCATCCATCTCTCTGTATGTCCAACGTTGGGGTTTCTGGCCATTGACTCTATGACTTCCTGAGCTTGTGGGGGCAACCTGATCTCATGTTGATCAATGATCAACAGAATAGACTTCTCCCACTTGCTCTTCATTCTCGAGTACATGATGTTCAGAGGATCGATCACCTTGTGGTAGGGTGATGTAACGTCGGTTCTAAAGTAAGAATATGTCCGACACCCATAAATCGCATGGATGCACTTCTGTACCAATTCAGTCATTGCGCTGGCTTTCTTCGCTTTCAACTCCTCAAGCTGGGCATCAGTCAAGTTGGTGGGGTATTCGAAGTTGCCATATTCCTTCTTGAAGGATTGCGGAGTATGACCAAATGATAGGATCACGAGTGCCACCTTGCAAATGAATTGCTCTCCTCTGAATCGGTGCCAGGCCTCCTCAGTTGTAATATTGTTGTCGTTGGCAAAGATTAACATCATATCATCTGTTGGATCCAATGGTCTCCCATCGTCATCGATTTCAGTGGAATCTCCTGTACCGAACTTGCTTATCACATCCAGACGCTTCCTTTTCCAATTTGCTTTGAAGTCGGTAAGGCTGGTGCAATAGTAGCTCTTGTACATCAGGGAGATCATGTTCAGCACACATTTGACCACATACCTATCCATCAAACCCGATGCATTCACGGAGACGTCCTGACAGTAGGCTCTCTCTTGATGCGCATAGATTCGAGGTTCCGGTACTCGACAATAGATGGGGAGATCTTCGTTGTCTCTTCCTTCTTCGGGATTGAACTCGGTCGCTCCATGCTGTGCATAGTATCCCGGTTCATCACGATCTGTCGGTCGATTCGCCTCCGGATGTAAGTCGTCGGTGACGTCTTCATCCTCGGGCTCACCATCTTGACGTTTCTTCCCCTCATATTGTTGCGTGCTCCTCTGGATCTCGATGATCACGTTTCGTTCGTCTTCATCTTCTAGATCAGAATCACGACCGTAGTCGATCTCGTCCTCATTGAAAGATGGGGTCTCGACATTGTCACTCTTGAAGTTTTCTGCACCATCAGACGGTTTGGAAGGATCTAGATTGTCCATGTCCTCGTCGTCGTCAGCTGCTTCAGTTTGAGCGATGTCTTCTTCACAAGCCTTTCTGATCTCGTCCATAGTGGCCTGGTCCAATATATCTTGATCATCATCTTCAGGCTCCTTCTTTTCCTTCTTTTCCTCTTCATCGTCGCTCACAAGATCAACGGGTGAATCGGAAATGACAGTGTTGCGAATACCACACGAGAGTAGCCTGCCTTGACAAGATAGACACACGGACAAAGATGAAGAAGTCAAATGCATACATGATGGACACAAAATATTGCCATCCACGTTGCGATACCCTTCACATGTTCTGGAGATGATTTCGTCCCAAGTTTCCTCACTGACGGAATCCTCGATCAGCTCTCCATTGCCATCGAATTGTACTTCATCGATAAGGGACACGAGCTTTTGGACGTTGTCATCTGTCGCCGAGGCTGACTTCGTGACTTCGTCGGCTCTCTCGAGGATGGTATGCTTCTGAGCAACCGAAAGTCCATGATGTGCCGCTAGAACAACTTGCTCTCCAGTGCTTCCCAGCAGGAGTCTCCTCCATGCCTGAACGTAGTCGTCCCAATACCAAGCACCTCGTACACATCTCCATGGAACTTCTCTAAAAACAACAGTGTAGGAATTCTCCGAAATTCTTCCCCCAAGCTTCCTCAAAGTCATGATTGGAACATAAAGGCAAACGGGCATTCCCACTCTTGGCCATCTTGATCTCAGAATCTTTGATGATCGATCATCCCACGGCGCAAAGTGGTTGAAGAAAACACTACCTCTATATCCCTCCGTTCCACCAGGGACAATTCCTAGTTTCATGATTGACTCAATATTGGAAAGCGATGTCATGTGAAAGCTTCCTCCAAGCTGCATTGCCACATTCTCTGGAATGAGATGTGAAGTCCACACAGGATATATTGACACATCCTCTTCAAGAACAGTCTCTCTTCCAGAATTGTGAGAGGCAACAGCTCGAATTGCACAAGGAACGATCCAACGTTCATGCTTCAGAAATGACGGTGCATCTGTGCTGTAATACATGAGGTTTGCCCAGTATTGCCTTTCCTCTTCGAGTGAGACATCCTCCCTTGAGATACGAATGGCGGCAATCTGATAGCGTACTCTGTTCTGCAACTTCTTTGCATGCCACATCGCCTTGCATAAATACTGGTATCGCTCTGTCTTGACATCTTGACGATGCCGATCACCTGAGATAGTACTGATATCGACACCATCGTTGAAGACATGGTCATATTCCAGGATCTCATCGATGTTCACCCATCCACCCTCATTGCACTTCGGGGACACATGAGGTTTTCGACCGCGGTGCGATTGAATCCCATTATGCTTTCCCACTCCATGCCTGAGTAGTCTATTGAGTCTATGGCTAACCTCGTTGACCCGCTGACTCTCCTCGCTGAACTTGTCGATGCGAGTTGCTGGGTTCATCTTTGGTGGATCCGTGAAAGTTGCATCTCTCTTCGGTCCATTCCAGTACTCCACATAGAATGTAACTCCATACTGTGGAATGATCTCGATGCTTCCTCTATCGCAAGTCACCTCAATCTGCCGATATCCAACCTTGTGAACTTGTTGTTGGTCAGGAACAAGGTCTTTCACTTTGGGCATCTTTATTCCGAGTGCTGCAGCCTCCTGAATAAGTGCATCAAGTTCCCACTTTCCATTAGGACCTGATCTATCAACCCTGTGATTTGCGACCCTGTACTCTCCTCCTTCTTTGTCATCGGCAATGTCAAAGAGGTCGACGGGCTCTTTGAATCTGGTGACGAAACTGGCGTTCCCAAAGGCCTTCTTGGTTGCCTCGACCGCTTTCGCGTATTCCTCTTTTGCAGAGTCTGACGAGTGTGGTCTACCTTTGGCTCTCGGAGAGTGAGGTGGTACCTTACCTCCTAGTTCCGGTTCTTCTTCGGGAAGTTCAATATCTTCATCATCCACATCCATGTAGTCCTCGTCTTCGACGTCTTTGGATGACTTTGCTTTCCTCTTTCGGCTTTCAACATCACGTCGGATGATTGCCTTGTCGTCCTCGGTGAAGCACTTGCGCATAGTGTCCTCCATGTGAGAGAATGAGTTCATCAACTCGTCCTTCTTCTCAGTGTTGGGACAAATAGCCAGGTGATGTTGGTTTGAACCACAACAATAGCACACCTTTTGGCTCACTGCGCGTGCTCTGACCCTTCTGAGGTTGTCATAGGCGGTTTTCCAGTTGGAAGCGGTTGCTGTACCTTGCCCACTGCGCTTGGCAGCTCTTTTCCGTTCTTCAGTATCTGGATTCGATGTCGGGTAGTGCGACCATGTTTTCGTCGGGGATACTGAACGACCTTCCCCATCCTTGTAGTCTTGCGGATCAAGCTCAGGCGTAGGTGGTTCAGGCTCCTCGACTCCTGGAGTGGTACTCGCAGGGTCGGCTTCGCCATCCTTCATCTCTACATCAGGCTCTTCCGTAGACGTTCTCTTGGGCTCTGGGGCTATGGCCAGTCGTACCATTCTCCTGAACTCTGGTCTGGTAGCATACCTGGACATGACGGCATCGATACAGGCTTGTTCTTCAGCTGTAACATGGAGCCCTGAAGGTTTATTCCTCTTGGTGTTGTCATTGATTGATTTTCGGCTCGCTGCATAGAAGTGAAGAAAAGACAT